TTACTACCCCCAACCAATCAAGTCGCTTTGATTTGCGCATGGGCAATATTTCCTATTTTGGGGTACAATGTCGAAAGTTTGCGGTAGTAGAATGTCTAAAGTTAAAAAAGCTGAAGAAAAAGAAAGCGCGTTATGCATTTGAGAAGTAATTTAATATGTATGTATTTGCTGTACAAAAGCGTTTGCGTTCCAAGGCGGGAATGGGTTCGGTCAATTTTTCAAGAGCGAGATACGTATTCCGCTCATGCAGCATTGTTTCCGTCACTGAGGCAGAAGTACCCAGAATTATTTTTCAATTATACTCGAATGACGGCAAGTTATTTTTATTTTTTAGCAAAACCTGAAAGTAAAAATTGAAGGAAAGACTGTCAAATATTTCTTTTTATATATCAGTAAATTAGTAATTTTTTCCCTTAGTAATTTATACTAAGGAAATAGGATTAATGATTACATTGCGATTTAATTACCGACAAAATGAATTATTTCAATGTTTATTTTGGTTAATCTTTGTATTATGGTAACTCGGCAATTTTTTGGCGACCAACCCTGCTACAGCAACCTGCTAGTTTTTTTTTTTGGGGGGGGGGACGCCATTTTGTTTTCACGAAGTAAAGGCTTTTTTTTTTTTTTTTTTTTTTTTTTTTTACTCAACATTTTATTCCAACAATCTGCTAGCCGAATTACGCTTATGCTAGAATTTTTATGACACAAAAGTGCTTAATCATGACGAAGATTAGGTGCGAAATTGGGAGAAAGTGCAGAATCGCCCACTGCTTGCCGCGTTTTTAAGAATTGCACATACACGGTATCATCCATGTACACGTCGACCTATTTTCACTTGAAAAAAACATCTCAGAATTGCACAAAAATGGCATTGCGCACACTCTTGACTTTATCCATGTACACTGCTAAAGTCCTAGCTAGTAACCTTTATCGCCTTACCAAAATGTCGCCAAACTACCTGTTACCATATTCCAAAGATTAGCCTTTATTTTTTATATAATTATGGACTAGCATTAGTTATAACTAATTAGTTTAATTGGTTTATTAAGCGCATTATTAATGAAGGTTGTTTATAATTCGATTACCTTAATGAAACATAATATCAGATGGAGTATAATGTAAAATTACTAGATGTGCCAGATGTTGGACAGTCAACATTTTAATGCACTATCGTGTATTAGGATATGTTCCTCTGTTAGAAAATACCCAGCATTCTGTATCCGTAGATTTTTTAATTATTACTGTCATGAATTTTATTAGTATTGCTTCACTTTGTCATGAAAATACTTTTGTAGAACCAGAAATATAAAATAATTAGGCTTTTAAATAATATATTCTAGAGAATTTGGGAGATCCATAAAAAGACTTGCTTTTAAAAGATTTTCTGCATTCCTGTTCCACCTGTGTTTTATATTTGACAAATGAGCAATAAAATTAAATCATGTCAATATTTTAAAAAAATCATTTTTGGAGAATATTGTAGTAATATGATGAAAAACACTTAACCTCCAAAAGAATGTAAGAATAATTGTATCAAAATAGATTATTTAATGAAATTCTACTACCTGAAAAATTAAGCAATTATTAGAGTATAAGAGTGAAATTGAAATGGAGAGTAATTTTCCTTTTAATCAGAATTATCATATTTTATTTTTTCAAATTTGTAAGATAAATAACTGAATATTTTTCACTGATCATAGTTGCAGCAACACAGTATATATTTCGGCAATATAGTATATAGTGATGCCCCTCATGTTGAGCACCTTCAATAGTCAAAAGTATTCCTGAGAATATAAACAAACATTGGTAATGACAATCACAGATAACCATATTCTCTGAAGGTTGCTATAATATCCCGTCGGTGGCTAAATAAATAAAAACACTGAACATTAATTGTTCAATACCTGATGAAAGGGTTTAGAACATAGGCATTTTGTGCATATCTGTCCAAGATATGAATGTAAATTAGTTTACCTTAAAAAATCTTCCTGATGACATTATTTAGGTTAGTAGGGTTACCTTTAGGCAGGTAACCCTAGTGTGTGGTGCATAATCAAATAATCATGTTGAAGGTGATCACCTTCACAGAAGGCTGAAATCATTTCTAATTATGGAGTTTATGTTATTTTTGTTAATAACATGCGATTAATCGCTAAAAGTGTTAATTGTTAGAAATAGTAAGATTATACTTCAAGCAATTTTTCAAGACAACAAAATTATTTTCTCTTACTTTGGCTAATCATTTTAGCACAATATAAACTATTTTGTATTTGTTTTTATATTAATTAGATAATTAAATATAGTTCTGATGTTCAATTTACTCATAAGTATAATATTATTGAATTTACATGTAGGGAGAACAATATGATCATCTTCTACATTTACTGCAAGATAAACTACAGAAGCAAGAAACACGTTTTAGGAAATCAATTTCAGCGTCTGAGAGACTTGCCATCTGTTTAAGGTAAATATAAATATATACATTTGTTTTGAAAGCAGTGTCGACGCTAGACAATTTACCGCCTGGTGCAAACTCCACAAATCCGAAATTCTGCCACCTGATTCCTTCCTAAATTCTAATAATTTTGCCATCTGGTGTGGTCACCCTGGTTGCATATGCTCTGGCACCAGCTCTATTTGAAAGTCTTTATTACATCTAATTCCAGTTTTGTGTAGTATATATAATTGAAAATTAATGTTCTTGTCAGAACATTTTATACTTCTGTCTAATTGAACTTTTTAAAATTCATATTTTTTTTTTAAATTTGTAATGCATTTAAAAAATTATGAATAGGAACATAATTTTATCAAAATAAGTTACATAAATAAAGCATTTATTTTCTGTGGTTTAATAATAAGAAAGAAAATTGCAATCTCTTTGAAACTGAGCTCCCCCCAAAAAAAGAACTTTTTTTAAAACTTGCATACTGCTACAGATTGCCCTTTCTTCATTTTTATACATGTTAAAACTGCAAAAATTTAATTATTGATTCAGAATGTTTTTGTAGATTTCTAGCATCTGGAACTAATTATACAGACCTGGCATACACTTTCCGTGTTTCTAAATCTTCAGTTTCACATATTATTCGAGAGACCTGTGATGTCATATGGCAAGTCTTACAGCCACTGGTTATGGCTATACCAGCATCATCAGATGAATGGGCTGTAATAGCAGAAGGTTTTGAATATAAATGGAATTTTCCCAACTGTGTTGGTGCAATCGATGGTATGTATTATGTCTTGCATTCCATATTTATTTGTCAGTGAGTACTTTTGAAATACAAAAATTGCATTATATTAAAATTAGGCAAATGAAGATTCTTTTTTCAAAGATAAATATAAAATATTGCAGAATCATCTAACTTGATATATGAGCTGTCTTAAAATATCAAAAGACTGGAATTGTTTCATAATAAATAAATGAAAGTGTGTGAAATGAAAAACAAATTTTAATATAAAAAGGAATTTTTTTGCAAGTTTCTAATTTAAGAACTGAATTTATTATTGGAAAAAGTATTTATATTAATTTTTATCATTAAAGTGTATATTATTTTTCTTTAGGCAATTAATAATTGTTGCTTTTTTTTTTTTCTTGTAGGTAAGCATATCAGAATACAAGCTCCACCGTCAGCTGGAATCAACATATTATAATTATAAGGGCTATAACAGCATAGTCCTAATGGCAGTGGCAGATGCTAGTTACACTTTCCTTTATGTTGATTCAGGCAACTATGGACGCATCAGTGATGGTGGAATTTTCAGTAACTGTTCACTAGGTAAAGCTTTGGTTAGTGAAACTTTGTTTTCATTGCCAAATCCAACACCATTATTAAATAGTGATCGAGTTTTGCCTTTTGTATTTGTTGGAGATGAGGCTTTTCCACTCAGGAAAAATATTTTACGCCCTTATCCTGGCAAATTTCTGTCGAATGAAAGAAAAATTTTTAATTACAGACTTTCTCGAGCAAGGAGGTGCGTTGAAAATGCTTTCGGCATATTGGCGTCTAGGTGGAGAGTACTTCGTACTGAAATTGCCCTGAACCCAGAGCATGCTAATAAAGTAGTTTTGGCATGCTGTTGCCTTCATAATTACTTAATGAAAAATGAGTTGGGAAAGGCAGCTAAGAAATACTGTCCTAGTGAACTTTGCTGATTCTCTTCTTTCAAATGCCACCATTAAAGAAGGTATGTGGAGAACAGAAGAATTTACATGGCAACCTCTTGGCCGTCTAGGGGCCAATAATTCATCCCGTGCTGCATCTGCAGTTCGAGATAATTTTTGTGAATATTTTTCTGCAGAAGGAGCAGTACCATGGCAAGAAAGGAAAGCATTTATTGTGTAAATTTATTTTTTGAAAATATTTATGAAATATGTAAATAAAACAATAAAACAACTGATTAGTGTTATGTACAAATAATTTCATTTATTTCTTGCCATAATTTGTAAAAATTGTATTTTCGTTTCCAATTTTTTTTCATCAGTCATTTTTTTCAAATCACTATGGAGACTCAATAAAAATAGTTTATCATCATCGTCATCATCATTTTCACATCGATGGTGATTTTTTAAATATTTATTTGTTTCATCAATAACAGAAAGCAATGAACTTTCAATTGTTTCTTCTCTTTTTTCTTTTCTTCCCTCTAGGAGTATTTTCATCATTATTATTTGAATTAGTGTTATCTAAGATTTGTCTGGAGCTTGATGCAGGTGATAAAGGTGATTCACATGAGGGCATAACGTGAATAAGCAGATGGCTCCACATATTCAGGTTCTGTCGGATATTCAATATTATCTGAAGACTCGGAGACAACAGATTCTACTGTGAAATTAAGCTCCTCGAATTCTTTGTTTCCTTGAAAGTTTGTCTGTGTCCTGTTTAGAAAGAAAACAAGGAAAAAAAATCAAATGCATATGAAAAATATTTTTAATACATTAATGATTATTTTGTGATACAAAGTAATTAGGTAGTGAAATAAGCAAATTTAGAATCTTATTTGTTACTGCATTAAATAGCTCATTTTTTAATTTCTATTACTTATGAACTGCAGACAATTTAAATAGATCTTAAAATTTAGCATGAAAAATAATGTAAACCAAGAGTCTTCTTGCTTCAGTGTGATTACCTGAAACTAAAAAGCTTTTTTTGTTAATTTGAATTATAACATCCCATTGGATTCTTTTCTTACATAATCTTTTGTGTTTATTAATATTTGCAAGAATAATTTCTAAAAAAATACAGTTTGTTACATCCAGTTGTATGGGGTAATTCCTAGTCATTACGTTCTTGGAGCAGTGCTGGATCACATTTTGCTTTTAATTAAAATAATATTTTATCAAATATGGGGAGGGGTGAAATGAAATCATCATCACTCTTTGAATCTTTTGTACTGCAATATACAACCGAATTGTCATATTTACTCACTAATAATTTTATCGTACAAATATGGAGAAGGCAAAATGACATGAATAATTTATTTTCCGAAGTATGGTCAAAATAAATAAGGTGTATTAGATACATTTAATTAAATTACATACATTACTGCAATAATTTATTATATGCATTAAATCTGTCATTGTATTAACAAGGGCTGAAATTTAAAATATTCTTAATTTATCCACAAAATATCCGGATAAAAAAAAGGCAGCACTAAACAATCTCGTGAAATAACAAAGCTCAGAAAATACAACAACGTGAATCATGAACTTGAACAAAGAGTGAATCGTCTATTGAACTTGAACAAAGAGTGAACAAAGAGTGAATCGTCTGCTTTTTTACCTCGATGCAGATTAGAAGGAAAAAAACTTATCTTTTTTCTTAAACTTTTTATGTCAATAATTTTGTATTTCCATTATGACTCATTATTATTCAGTTATTATGACGTCATTATTCGGTAAGTATTTTTTCTTCGATATTTCGTACTCAATGTTGCGGTTTCCGAAACCAAGAAACTCAGAATATAAACTGAATGCTTATATTCTGAGAGGCAACGCAGATTTCAGGAGTTGGCGGATTTTCGGTATTTGACTGTATTTGTAGACATTAAGACGAAAAAATGGAACAGATTATTGGACGTGGAATCGCATCTCAGATTAAAATTATGACAATCTGTCATCTCAGCACAAACAGTTTCATCCTTCTCATTAATCCAAATAAATGTTATTTATAATGTAACATTTATTTATATTAATGCCATAGAAAATCAAATTTATAGTAGTGAAGATCAGCGGGATTATGAGTTAAATAACATGGATGTAAATATTACTATTGGAGGCTGCAATTTAACAGTTGTGATGACAGTAGTGTTTTTGACAGTAACAATAATGTAGTATGCCCTAAATAGAGATTACTTTAAATGACTTATAAAGAGTATAGTAATTATAAAGTATATAGTATATATAGTAATTATAAAGAAATCAATATTTTAGATGAAAAAGAAGAATCTCTTGCCTTCATTGAAAAAATTTTGAATATGCATACAAAGCCCTTACATAATAAATGAAAATATTGAGCCACTAATAACTCTTATTTCTTTTTATAGAAACACAATCACAAGAGAATTTTATCAAATTTTTTGTATCTTACAGTTTAAGACAAATTTTATCTAATCTTGGCTTACACATTTCACATTCTATAAATAAAAAAAGATCACTATACTTTGGAGACTGTTTTGAAAAATTTCATGCCATGAAAGATTTTAACAGTTAATTCAGTAATAAAGTATTACAACTTCATTTTTTAATTCAGTTTCATATATATTTTTGTATTTATTTTCATTATGAATTAATGTAATAATTTAAGCACAACTCCTTGATCTGATGGTATATATTATGATAATTAATCCCAGGCTTTATGTGTTAAGTGCAAAGTAACTTCATAAAATTAAAGCAGGTATGCATAATCTCAAACACTAACTTCTGAACATCAAAATGGTCAGTAACACATCAGTTTTGAGCTGTGTGAGTACAGAAATATGGGCATCAACTATAGAGGGATAAACTATAAAAAGAAATTGGCCACAAAAAGAAAAAATATATATATACAGACGAGTCCTCATTAAAATATTTAGAAACTCAGCTTTCAAAGGAAAGAGCAAGTGCTTTGTTTATATTATGCATATGCTGTACTTTGTTAATAAGTTTACATTGCAAAAATATTGGCCTATTTTTAATTGGGAAGATTAAAAAAGTACAGAACAGCAAAGTTTCTACAACATTTTTTATGGGTAAGAACTTCAGTTGGCCCAAACACGTTAGAAAAAAACTATAATGTGTAATACAGTTTTATTATAACACATTTACAAGGTGTTAAACCATTCATAACGAGTGATGAGGCAAAAAATATATAAAAAAAAAAAAAAAATATAAAAAAAAAAAAAACAAAAATAAAAAACAATATACGAAATCTCATCAAAATATTTAAAATCTCTTATGCAAAGGAAAGAGCATGTATGCGTGCATTGCATAATACTTACATTTGCAAAATATTGAGAAAAACATTGCTATTAAAAATCATGCAACAAGTACAGAACAGCAAAGTTTCTACAACATTTTTTATATTGGAAATTCTTAAGGGTTGGCCCAAAAAACGTATGAGAAAAAACCAAAAAAAAACACAAATGTTAGAAAATAATACTAATAGTATTTATTACAAAACATTTACATTTAAGGTGTTACATTTTACTAAACATGTTAAACAGTTCATTAACAGAAAAAAAATAACGAGTGATGAGCAATAAAATGGATAAATGGTAAAAAAAAAATTGTGTAGGAGAAGTTTTTGTTTTCCAGAGCATAAATATTTGGATAGAATTTGAGTTATGGCAAAGCATATAAGGTCTATCTGCCTAAGGGGAGGAATTTCTTAAGTAAATTGGTTTATATCCACATATGTGACTATCTAACATATTTAATAAATTTATATCAATAAAGTTACAATTTTTGATTGCTAGTCAACCTAGGATAACTCCAAATAATCCATTTATGCTTTATAATATTACAGACTACTAACAAGTAAGATTGTATTTTGTTAATATGAAAATTTATCATTTTATATTTAACATAACTAAATAATTTGGTTCTGAATATTTACCTTCGATGGCGGATACATGGATCCAAAAATGACATTTGGGGCATCAGATGCCATTGCTGCTCTGCAGACTCTGCACTAGCTCCACTTTTGCATTTTGTTTTTCTTCGGCTATATTGCTTACGCAGATTCTGCCACCGGTAAGTAACCTCTTCAACTGTGAAATTAAAAAAAATATAGCCGAAATTTTAATTCAACCACTGTAATTAATTACTGTTTAATTATTAATATTTTATGCAAACAATTATATTAATTATATGAGATTCAAAATGTATCCATACGAAAATGAAATATGGATCTTATATATTTTTATATATGGATATTTATATATTTAGGGATTTTTTATGTATTTCGGAATAAACATTTGCATGAGAAATGAAGAAAATGTATTTCTGAAAATTGAGGAGGAAAACTTTAATCAAATTTTTACTACTGTTGATCTTCACACTTACTACTTTTACTTTCTTCTTCTCATAAGCCTTTAGTAACATGTTGCAAAAAAGAAGAGCAAACTAATGTAGTAAAGACAATAGCTAAAAATATGTAATCATCTGAATTGCTATAATTTGGGAAAAATTTCAAATATATATAATTGAAGGTTGCTGCATATAATTTTCATAGAACAGTGTACATTTAGATACAGTTTAAAGCAGTTAATAAACTTTAATTTTAAAAAATCCATCTACTGAGCTTATTTAAATTTTATAAAACTCAGATTTTCAGAAATGTTCTAAAATGCTATAATTTAATATATGTCAACAAATTTTTATCGTGTAATCGTTATTATTAAACCTATTTTGTACTTGAACAATTGCGTTAGTCGAAAGAGAACTAGAATAAAAGAGAGCACATTGCAATCCGAAAGGAGCAAAAAAATAAATAAATGGATACATACCATCTCGGTTCAGTCTTTCGGCAACCAGTAGCCAAGCAACGTCTTGTCCTCTTTTCATTCGATATTCTTTTTTTCTATTATCCCATAAAATCGGATGTTGTTGCACTTCTGCAATTAATTTGCAGTCAGACGTAGTCAAATCTTCCGCCATGTTTTTCGCTTAAAGCATCGTCAAAAAACAAAAACCCTCGTGATAGTTTGTAAGTCTGTGATTGGCCAAAGCTTTCATCTCATAGGTTCGGAGTTAAAATTTTCCATCTCTTGGGTTTACGTCAATTCCCTTTGAAGATTAACCGCTCGACTTAGGTTACGTTTCTTAGGACGTTAGCTTACGTAAACGGGCCTTAAGAGGTCATTCAGCAAGGTAAAGATGGAAAAAAACAATCTAAGATCTACCGTGTCATGAGAGCTAGTACTATATTTGACCACTCACTATTCAGTTTGATCTTAACCCATTAGCTGCTGGTGTTGCGTTGACGCAACAATCAAAATAAATGCGTATATAAATATAACTACCTAAGATATTTTATACCAGCAGATGATTTTGTGTAGGGAATATTATGAAGATTATTTCTGTAAAAAAATATTTGCCTTCAACAATCATTTTGTTTATAATAATTAATCTCATACTTTAAGCAAAATTTTCGACCAAGTATTTTTGCTGAAAATATTTAACGAAAGAATCGCTGTCTTTATGAGTGATCTATTTTTAGTCAAGGTCACCGTTTATCAGAACATTACATCAGTCAGATGTTTATATTTGTGTTGGAAAGGAAGGGAAAACAGGTGTTGCGCTGACGTAACGTCAGCAGGAAACGGGTAATCAATCTCCTTTTTCACTCATTTCTTTCGATGTTCTGGCTGCTTTAAAAATGCCTAGAACGAGGTATTTTATATTAGAAGAAATCTTTCAAAGATTTTTTTGATGAAGAAACAGATGATGATAATGTTAATAATGACCAGAATGAAATTGATATTGTTGTTGTTCCCTCAGAAATTGCAGAAGCTAGTGATGAAGAAGAAAGGAATGACAATGTTTTAAATCATGATAATTATATTTTACCAAATGATACTGCTGGGGAAGTTGAAATTCACCTAAAACGTAAGTTTCAGCCTTCTAAAAGCAGTTGTAGTCATACTAAAAAGTTTAAAAAGCAGAAGACTGAAAGCTTGAAGTGGATAAAAGAGGAACTGTTAGTTATGTCTCAGGAAGAACATGAAGAAAGAGATAGATGAGAAACTATAAAAAACAAAATACAAGGTAAAACTAGTGCACAGATTTTCGATTTTCTTTTTGGTTTAGACATTTACTCTCTTCTCGTTGAACAGACAAATACCCAGAAAAAAAAAATTGCCCAGAATTTATTGCATCTGAAGCCTATATGAGAAGATTTATTGGAATATTATTGCTTACAGGATATCGTTCTTTACCTCAAGAAAAGATGTATTGGTCTTTTGATAAGGACATTTCTGTTCCTGTTGTACGAGAATCGATATCACGTTTGCAGTACAGGAATATGAAGCAGAATGTGCGTTTGACAATACTGATAAATTATATGAGGTGATACCATATCTAAACTGACTAAATATCACCACTTTTTACTACTGGAAATATAAAGTCTCTTTTAGATTTCAGATACAAGAATGCATTATTCCTTTTCCAAACTCCTATTGAGAGTGTAGAATTAGCCAGAAAGATCAGCCACAGGAAGACCTAGTAAATTCAGCATTCAAAACCATTGCATGGAGATGGTAGACATTTTATCGTAAAGTCTTGAAACAAAAGACTTTGTTGTAAAGAGTACCATAGGCAGACTGTTTATAGATGCAAAGTATGTAATGTAGCTTAACATCATGATTGTAAGCAAACTTTTCATGCTTGAATATTTCAATTGAAATAATCTGTATTTGTGAAAGAAATACAATGTATATTTTAATATTAAATTAATTACAAGTAAAGTGATTTGTAGATTTATAAAACGGTATACAGCTAAAAAGTAATCCTGCGCTCCACTCAAAAGAAATATCACACAAGTACATTCCTACTCATTAAACATGTGTAGTCTTATTCTGCTGACGTTGCGAGAATACAACACTCGCTTTTTTCCACAGGTAAGAGCATTTTTTTAATTTTCAATGTAAATTTATGTTAAAAATGCTTAATTTAATATCTGTTATTATTTTCATGAGAAATTAGCTGATTAGTTTTCATTATGTGATTCAGAGTTTTATCAAGAAAGACCTTTATTCAACAAATAATAAAGGTGCTCTTCCGTTTCGCCGGCGCAAATCTCGCCAAGCAGACTTTATTGGCGACAACATACATTATACACATAAAAAATATTAAAAAAATGTTAGTTCTAAGAATTCTTCTTTTTTTGAAGGCATAAACATTTTAATATCGCTTAAAATTTTATAAAAGGCCAATAAATAAAGACTGTACGTTCCGTTGTTTAAAATTAGTGGACTGTAAATTGACTTGATATTACTTCAGTATAGAACCCAAAAAACCTCAGACTCATAACGTTGACCGAAACTTCTTTATTGACTTCATAGAGTAAGTTAGTTGAGGAACGGCGAAGACCACACAAACTCCGACTTCAGTGGCGGCTTACCAACACAAACTCAGAAGAACCTCTGCCTAGTTGAAACTCCAGTAATTCACAGCAACCTCAAAGCTCTAAACGCGAGCTTTAAAAACCTAACAAATTTGCGTCTGCGCCGCTCCTCGGTACAAAGAAAGAAATACAATTTGCATAACATCGAACATACCCCCAGCCTTGAAGTCCCAAGGGGGTTCAAACAATAAATTTAAACTGTTGAACTGCATAAACCTGAAAAATAAAAATTAAAGTCTCTAAATCAGGAATTAAATGGCAAAGCGCATAGCTTTGCTATAGGTCGTTTTATTTCACCATTAGACGTGCGTAAACTCACCACTCGAACTTTCTCATCCAGACCAGGATACACTTTAATAATTCTACCTAATTTCCAACGTAGCGGAGGTAGATTTTCGTTCTTAATAAGAACCATATCACCAATCTTCAGGTCTTGTTGTACCTTGCACCACTTGGGTCTCTGCTGCAATCTAGATAAATACTCACTGCTCCAACGATTCCAGAAATGTTGAAATAACCTTTGCACGTTCCTCCAACGGTCACTGCAGCTCATGGTTTCTTGAATTTGGTTAGATTCTGGAATAGCGCTTAAAGCCGCTCCGGTTAAAAAGTGTCCTGGTGTTATCGCCTCCAAGTCGCTACAATCACTTGAAGCTGGTACCAAAGGCCTAGAATTAAGACAGGATTCAATTTGGGTTATTAATGTCAAAAATTCCTCGTATGTTAAAATAAGTGTTCCTAAACATCTTTTTAAGTGATGTTTCATAGACTTGATACCCGCTTCCCAAAGCCCTCCAAAATGAGGGGCAGAGGGAGGATTAAAACAACCATTTAATATTTTCTGAAGAAATATAACCCTGTAGCTGTTCATCACGTTGAACAATAGAAAAGGCTTTCCTTAATTCTTTATTAGCTCCTATAAAATTCGTTGCACAATCACTGTGAATTTCACACGGTTTGCCTCTACGAGCTATAAACCGCTTAAGTGTCGCGAGGAATGATTTTGTTGAAAGATCTCCAACTAATTCTAAGTGTATTGCTCTTGTAGTAAAACAAATAAATAGACATACGTAACACTTAAAGATTTTGACTCCTCTACCCGGACGATATTTAACGTTAAATGGTCCTGCTAAATCAATCCCTACACGAGAAAAAGCTCTACTTTGAGTAACTCTTGAAGCGGGTAAATCTGCCATTAGCTGAGTTGCAGTTTGCGCTCTAACTCTACGGCAGATAACACATTGGTTTATACACTTTCTTATAATATCTCTAGCATTCACAATCCAAAATCTATGTCGTATGACAGAAGTGAGTAGCTGCGTACCTGCGTGAAGATACGTGTCATGATAATGCTTAATAATTAAACGCGTAATATTGTGATTCTTAGGTAAAATCATAGGATGTTTCTGATTATTTGAAACTGTAGAGTTTCTGAGCCTTCCGCCTACACGCATTACTCCCGCGGAATCCAAGAAAGGACTTAAAGACAGTAATTTACTTGATGTCTTCAAGGGTTTACCAGATTCTAAACAGAATAATTCTTCTGGAAATTCGGCTCTTTGCACAATCCTAACAATCATAGAAGTAACTTCACAGAATTCTTCAGTAGATAAATAACCCTTTATACGCTCTGTAGGTAACTTACTACAATTATTTCTGAATCTTAAACACCACGCTAACACTCGACATAACTTTAACCATGATGAAAATCTTGAAAAACACACTAGGCTCTTCAAATTTGGAAAATATTTGAACTGAAACTCTTTTTCAATTCCTTCAACATAACCTCACCCTCTAATTCTACACTTGAATTTTGCTGTACATGAATTAGGGATTCGTTTAACCACTGCGGTCCCTTCATCCATAACTCACATTGTAAGAATTCTGATGGAATAAAACCTCTGGTCCCACAGTCTGCAGGATTTTCTTTCCCAGCAACATAATTCCATTGAATACCTGGAACAGCTTCCTGGATTTTTGCAACTCGATTTGCCACAAAAGGTAGCCAACGGCGAGGTTCGGACGAAACCCATGCCAATGTAACCCGCGAGTCGGTCCATGCGTAAATATTGTTAATAGGCAGTTCTATGCATGATAATACTGCATGTAAGAGGTTGGTTAAAAGTAACGCAGCACACAACTCTAGTCTCGGAAGAGACTGGGTTTTTAAGGGCGCTACTCTGGTTTTCGATGTCAGAAGGCTGACTTTGACTGACGAATCAAGGTTGATTGTTCGGAGATAGATGACTGCACAATAAGCCTTTTCTGAAGCGTCGCAGAAAGCATGGATATCTATCACTACTGCCTTCGGACTCAAGACATACCTCGGAAATTGTAAGCTTGAAAGTAAGGGCAATTCTAGATAGAAACGCTTCCATTTTCCTACTTATTTCTCTTATCAACGAGTTCATCCCAACCCAGCTGTAAGTTCCATAACTCTTGTAATAATATTTTCGCGTATATTATTGTTGGCGCTAACCATCCCATTGGATCAAAGATTTTGGCTACTTCTGATAAAATAGTCCTCTTAGTAAACTCTTTAT